TTTCAGGAGGAACAAATGGCTCAACTAGCGTTGGATCATAAAAATGTCTATTGCGAAAAATCGATATAAAGTAAAAATGTACCACAAATAACTTCCTTCAGGAGTGGCGACCAATCCTTCTTACGAATGTTATGGGTAAATATCGAGTCTAGACTTTACAGAAGGCGTAGATTTCGGTGTGTAAAAGGCACTCACCCATCTTTGCACCATATAATGGCTGATTATATCTACTTGGTAAATTATGAAAATATAGAGAAAGGGGGTGAATACCAATGCCAATTACTCGTAACTAATGCTGACTTTTTTAGTTAACACTTGTGTAATAAACGTGCTGGCATCGAGACTAAGAGAAGGCATTGCTTGGCTTTGCCTTGGTGGTCAAGAGTAGCTCTACTACAAACTTTAAATGAAGACCGATTTTTCTTTCCTGCCTAAGAAATGTTTGCAACCAAAATTTGGTACCGGTTTTAAGTGTCCTTCGATGGAGTTGCCTCAAGCTCTGCCAACGTGTACTCGTCTACATAAGGGATTCGTTGACAGCGATGGTGTGAATGCAAACTTTTATCCTCTTTTTTCCATTCTCCTCATATCCCACGTCAATTATGTATTCTGAATGTAAAAAGAATTGCACTTTCCACCATGGCTATAATATAAGGCTGAAATTGCTTTTATTGCCCTTTTATGATCACCTCTCCTAAATTCTTTCTCTCTTCATACCCTATCTGGATAAATACTTGTGCACAGTAAACATTCCTTGACATTTGATCTGAATCAACATCAATTTCAGCAGACTTTAATTATTCACAAAACGTCGATTGTTGAAATTTTTCCTACCTACGCATGATTTTAATTGTTATGACAAGGCTAAACACGTCAGCTTCAGCTCCTATCAGTGCGGATGAGAGATGATTTTCTTCATGCACATCTACTTTTGCATGAAAGCATATAAGTGCTGTTTGATTAACGCCCATAACAAATTCCCTCTGCCTTCTTACCATATTTCCTCCGAGTAATAATTCGATGTAAGCATGCGCATCCAAATCGGGATGACAATTTTTGCAGATGTACTTTGATTGAATAGCCGACGTTGATTTCAATGAGATGCAGTAATGTAACACTGGGCTCAAAGTGTTATATAAATTGACCAGGTATACTATGGTGCAATAAACCACTGCAGTTATAGGAGGAGTTGGCGTCCAAAAATGGTGATGAGGGAATGAGATGTCTAAACGTCTGGCGCTAAGGACGAACGAGTGAAGAAGGCAACAGTTGGGACGTCATTCAATCAGCATCCCGGTTTTGGAGAGGCGCTAATAGTTGGGGCGCGTGTGAAGTCAGGACTTGATGTCATGCATGTCAACCTTGGTGGAGAATGACATGGTCGCGTGCACCAACGGTTCGGTCAGGATACCCCTTTGCCACTGCTGGGAAGTTGCCCTGATCGTGTGAGAGTAGCGGGTTTCGCATGATGAAAGGAATTCGTCTATGGAGGATGCCGTTGCCTTTTGCAGTCAGGAGACCAGAGATATTCAAGACAGCCAATGGATCTTTTGATATCATGTCTTGATTTGGTAGAATTTAGGTGAGTTAGGACAAAATCAATTTGAGGAAAGGTTAAAATATTAATTCCAATGTTGATGGAAGGAGTTTTCGAAAGTTTATTATGCACACGCTGAGTAGGTGGTGCGGGTGTCGGTAAACAATGCTACTTGCACATCATTTTATAATGCAGACGCATTCACGTATTCCTATTGTAAACTCTGAGAAGCATTGTGTCTGAAGTGTCGATGTCAGAGTGATGTGGCATATGACAAGGAAAGGTTGGCCAGTGATGATGCGTGCAGCCATGCAAATACAGGATGATCGGCTATCCTATTCGCATAAATCATCAACACCTGTAAATGTGCTAAAACATCTTTGATGATTGCCAAAGGTGAATTACTTGCGTCCCTATCTGACCTGGCAAATTTTCAGCCTGTCAGTTAGCATCCTTGGCATTCCAGTTTGAGTAACCACACACCGTTTTCTCACATTCGGATTTGAGTTGACACTTACTCGTGTTGTGGGCAGAGAAATTGGTAATGGGATAGGTACGGGTCAAATGCTGTGTTCAGTCCTCTTGGAAAGCACGGAAAGCAACTACGGTTGTGTAACGCATGTAAATCGAGTCTATTTAGTAGAGCAGAAATTAATCAAAGCATCATTTGCTCTCGATGGTGGCTAGTCGAAAATGGCACTTATTCAATGAGTTGGTGATCGGTCAAAATATAAACCTATTTGAATATCTTAGTGCAATCCTGGAC